GTCACCTTGCTACCGAAGTGTGGAATGATTTGACTGGCACCAAAAAGGTCAACCTCTACTAGGCGAGGCGAAGACCGTTGTCACTACGGTAGGAAAGTGTAACAATCTGCTTAGATTTCACTTCAACTATTATTCTGATCATACTTTAAGTGATCATTACCACAAATTTTCTCTTCACCAGCTAGTGTTAAGCTGGAGTGGTTGACTTCAAGGAGCTTGCTGGTAGCTTAGATGTGTTACAACTATTGTCACTTGCTTTGTCGCCGCTAAGCTATATACTCCTACAAAAATTTTCTCTCATTCTTCTTGCCTCACTAAGAGCATATATCTACTCATTTTCTACCTCTTTTTTCTATTTTAGACTTTTACAACTCAGCTTTGAGAGAAAAAGAACAAGAATGTTAGGATTCCCGGTGGAACAGCGTGCTGCAAGAAAAATCTCCCACTTTGTCGGGAACAGTCAAACTCGCACAGAGGAGTTAATGTCCCCTGAAACCTTTGTGGATAAGTTTGGTTCTTATTATGGGAGGAAGTTTTTGGAAGTGTCTTAAATCCGACTTTGGAGAAGTGATGGTTCAACACGACCTTGAATATCGCCAAAAGATGGCTCTCAGCAATGCTCTTCTGCGCTTGGAAGCAGCACTTTCTACCTGTACGCACCAACTGCAAACGCCAAACGAGAAGTGCATAGCGGACGAAAAGTGCCGTGTATTGCCTTGTGTTGCAAAACCCATGAAAACCTCGCAAAAGCCTTTAGAGACCTCGGAAGAGCATAAAATGTAAGTAGAAATGCTAAAAAGAAGGGACAAGAATTTATTTTAAAAAGACTGTATTTTCTGCTAGAAGCTAAATGATACTATTTCTAGAAATGCTGTGTTGCTTTGACACTTTATTTATTCAATGCTCGTACACATCTGGTAAAGGCGTCCAGGCTGTTCCGCAAGATGGATGCCTGAGTATCGATAAGCAGGAAGAGCTGTTATTTCACCGTCTCGCATCAGGAAATGTGACGAGGGCTACTATAGAAATTGGAGAGGTGGGACACGTTAAAACTGCAGTACTGCTAAAGGAAGGAAATTTCATATCCTGTAAGTTTATTTTATACATGTTGTTGACTGTGTTGTGAGGGAGAGAAAAAATTTTAAACAAGCTATGGAGATGATTTTTATGATGAAGGAGGATGGAAAGGCAGCGACGAAAATGTTCCACTAAAGTTTGAGAACTTTTCATTTCAACACTAGAACGCATGGTCCATTGGTGAAATCGTTCCTAGAAGGACTGCAGAAAAATCCTTGAGGATTTGGAAAGAACACGTTTTTTTTAGTTTGTGGTTTGGAGGGGTTTATAAGCTTCCTCCAAGCAGAGGATACAGCAGGACTATAATCTGCCCATTCCTTATACACAGGTTGCCATCTTTTCCTTCAATATTTGGTATTGATAAATATTGTTATCAAGACTGCTTTGCTTTTTGAATAGAATACGGTAGGGGTAAGAAGTGCCCTCGGTGTAAACTAACAGCAATCTTTGGCTTAGTGTAGTCTGTACGCGTAATCTATGACCTTGCAGATTGCTTTGATTTATTATGAATCGTCGGCGCATAATAATCTCAGTGTAACCCACTGACAAGTTACAATCCACTAGGCGTGACTGTAAATAACAGTATCAGAGGTTCTATGCATTTTACGCTAGTATATAGTGATTTAAAATGGTTTACTACAGATTTCAAAGAAGCTAGCTGATGCGAATGAGTCCAAAGTCTGACAAAAACGCAACGAAAATTAGAAAAATCGACGTTATCAAGGGATGATTATTTAGTAGCAGTATCAGTGATCCAGCAATGTCTTGGCATTTCGTCTGTAAGGTTGGAAAGACTTGGGTCGGGTAAATTGTATCTCGTTTCACCCATTTCAGTCTGAAGTAGGCGATTCCGCCGAAACGTCAGCCAATGCATCTTTTAACAATCTCGTGCGCGGCTAAGAAATTATCACTAACATATTCGATATGCAGAGATTTATTGAACGTCGAACATTCCAACAATAAAAATTGGTAGACCAAATCGTTAATTAAATACTTATCCTACAGAGAACTTGACTTGCAAAATAAGCTTACTAGGGTGCTTAGTAAACGTTTTACATGTGTCCCGAACAAAAAAAACATCAGATCTGCATTGAGATTTAATAGAGAAATGGGATTGCTAAATACCGTTCGCAGGACAAGCTTAGCAGAGCCAGTGACACAGAAATGTCAGTAATTTTTTCAAGTGCACCTTACTCTTTTTAGAATTTAGAATGTATCGCAAGAAAACCAAGCCACAAGTTCGTTCACAGTACTCCAAAAGGTCAGGGATGGGAAATTATTTTTTCAAATCTAAAAATGTATTAATCTCCTTGGGACCTCCATATAAGTTAGAGGTGATCGGGCCCTTCATGATTGGTGGGAGTGTTACATACATATTCATATTCATTACATACACGTATTTGTGGAGCCTTACAGTGTACAAGAGGTGAGGATGGAGGGGAGAAGAGGAGGAGAGGGAGAAGAGGGGAAGAAGTAGGAACCGGCTGGCGCCAAGGTAGCCGAGCTCCC